ATTAGGAATCTGAGGGAGTGTTCATAATTTGGGGAATGGGTGAACAAGTTGGTATATAAATGTGTTGGAGTACTGATGTGTTGAACCCTTATCAGCAAAATGACCAACTAAGATTACAGAGGACTAATGGTGGAACATGCTACCCACTTACTGACAAAGAGGTGAAAGACTCAGAATGCAAAATGAGACAAATTTTGGAGAGATGTGGCCAACTTGGAAATTTGTTTTGTGAACTTTACATGCTTGTATTAGGTGTTGTTTTTCTCTTGATCTTAGATTGTAGTGGGTTGGGGGCAGCTGGGGAAGGAGGGTGAGAAGATAGATCTTGGCTGATTAACGTTTTAAAAAATTCTCCCCTCCAAGAAAAAAGTAGCTGGTGTGAAAACTTTTTCATGATCTGTCACTTCTTAAAATCCTGGTTATAATACTTTTGTTGTACAAGATTTTTTTTTATGTAAACAGATCTATTTGTCTTGATCCACTTAATTTATCCCATTTTTTGAATTAACGAGTATTTATTTCTCCTTTCCTCTAAAATTCTGTTTTCCTTACATCTCTCTTATATGCTTACTATGCACTATTTTGTATTACAGTTACTTGAGTGTCATTTCCCTTATTAAACTGTAAACTGCATAAATCAGGAAATCAAGCATTTATTAAGTGGCTACTATGAACACTGTAGAGAATACTCTATAGTAGGTCCTTAATAGATGATTGCTGAATATTTATGTGTTTATTATCAGTATGGCATAGTAGAATGCTAGGCTTGGATAACAACTCACCTCTAATAATTATAATTGTGTGAGCAGTTATGTTTTCTTTCCCAACCTAACATGGAAATGTTTTACATGACTAAACACGTATAACCTATATTAAAATGCTTGCTTTCTAAATGGGGGGTAGAAAGGGAGAAAATTTGAAACTCAGAGTTTTAAAAACAATGTTAAAAATTGTTTTTACTTGTTACTGGGGGAAAATAAAATACTAAATTTAAACAAAAGAATGGCTCAAAATTTCACAGCTCCACCAACAATGCATTGGTATGTCTGTTTTTCCTTAGCTTCTCTAGTGGTTGTTATTTGCCTTTTCTGTCATCTTTGCCAAGCTGATGGGTGTGAGTTGGAACCTCAGAATGGCTTGATTTTCATTTTTCCAGTTATTAGGGATTTGAAACTTTTTTTTTTATGTGGTGGTTAGTTGCTTGGATTCTTTCCCTTTGAAAAATGACAGATGCATTTATAGATTTAGACAATCAGCCTCTGTGTGTGTGTGTGTGTATCTCTTACTTTAAAAATAAAATATGGTGGTAAATTCAAATGAATTCAATGAAAAAAATATGTGACCAGGGAAAAGTCATCTAACCTCCCTGATCTTCAGTTTCCACATCTTTAAAATAGCAATAATGCTTCAAGGACCTACCTCAGAGGGTTTTTATAACGATGAAACAAAATAATATATGTAAAGCACTTAGCAAACCTTAAAGTACCATATAAATATCAGTTGTTATCTGTAATTCATTCATTGAGCTGAAATTTACACAATTTTTACATATCCTCTCCAGCATTTATCATTTTCCTTTAATGTTAACCAATCTAATAGGTGTGAGGTGGTATCTCAGAGTTGTTTTCATTTGCATTTCCCTAATCAATAGTGATTTAGAACATTTTTATATGACTTGATAGTTTTGATATCTTCTGAAAACAGCCTGTTCATGTCATTTTATCATTTATCGGTTGGCTCATATCTTTATAAATTTGGCTCAGTTCCCTATATATTTGAAAAATGAAGCCTCTATCAGAGAAATTTGCTATAAAACTTTTTTTTCCCAATTTCCTGTTTTCCTCTAATTTTGACTACATTAGTTTGGTTTGTGCAAAACCTCTTTTTAATTCCATGTAATCAAAATTATCCATTTTATTTCCTATCTCTATCACTTATTCACTTATACATAGGTATCAATGACAAGTACTTTTTTCCATGTTCCCCTAATCTACTTGTGAAATCACCCTTTATGTTTAAATCATTTATCTATTTTGATCCTATCTTGGTATATGGTGTTAGATGTTGGTCTATGCCTAGTTTCTTCCAAACTTCTTTCCAATTTCTTACCCCAAAAGCTTGAGCTTCAGGTTACTCTAGGCTTTTTGAAAGGTAGTGGCTTCCCCTCTGGAATTTATGAGTGAATGAATAAGTATTTATTAAACACTTAATATGTTCAAGCACTATGCTAAGCTCTGAGGATACAGATAGAAAAGAGAATCTGTACTCTCAAAAAGCTCACACTGGAATGGGGGAATCAACACACATGAAAGGTTTCAGCTTTAAGTTAGATGGAAGAGTCCTGTGGTCCTTAGAGAGTAGCAACAAAGCAAACGGTAACACCTATTCTTTAATGTTATTTCCACTGATAAAACCATTTGTGATGTTTAACTGTTTCACGGTGCTAAGGACTTTGGTGACAAGAACTTTCTTGTTTTCAGGAGCTGTGAATTAGCAGCTATTCTTGTAGCATCTGTAGGAGCAGTTGTCAGGCTGCATCCAGACAAGGATTCCTTTCCAGGTTGATAACTGCACACACCGGGCTGTTCCAAAGATTCTTGGATTCAGGGTTCTGGGTTTTCTTTATAGGGTCTGAGGAGAGACAGTGGTCAAGGTGGAGGCGATGGTTTGACTTGTCTTGCACATGCTGCCTCTCGTTTCTCAGGTGACTTGCTGTGTCAGCTAAGCTGGGGAGTGGCAGTTAGTTAGCAATTGATGGGGTGACTGGCCTCTTCTGCAAAGGAATTGCTTCCCCAGATGACTGCTATGGAGACTAAGATGGTCGTCTGGAGTTTTTGCTACTCCTGAAGCTCTTGTGCTTACTTGATGGTCAGTGGCAATTGGTCAGCAGTTATTTCTAGTAGTTGTGAGGAAGGTGGACACTTTTCCTCAATGATTTCTGCCCCTGTTGATGACTTCTGGAATTGGACTGGAAGCAGGTCTCGTGGTTTGGAAGGCACTGCTGTTCCCAAGGTTCTTGGGTTCAGGGTCCTGGGATATCTCCATTGAGGTCTGAGGGGAGGTGATGATTGTGGTTTGACTCACCTGGCACTTATTTCCTTCTCTTTTTGAGAATGCTTTGTTGCTTTTAGCTAGGACAGTGTGTCTGTGCTGTAGATATTTCAGTCAGTCAATAAACACGTATTAAGCACTCGCTCTATGTCACGCACTGTGATAAACACTATGTATACAAAATGCAGTCCTAGCCCTCAAGCTCACAATCTAATGGTTAAATCTTACTATTTAAGCAAAATTTGGATGACCTTATGTACAAATATAAAGGATTCTTCTTCATTTGTGGAGTTAGCTAGGGAGTCTCTTAAATCTTCTACTTCTGAGGTTGGTTAAATGATTCTGTAGGATGAGAGTACAGATATAGGTAGGTGGGCCAGGAATTTTTTCCTGTCAGCCATTGAGTCTAAATTTTAAGGATTTGTTTTGTCTTAGTATTCCCAGTTTCTGGCCCAATGTGTTGCTCATAATAAACATTTAGTAGGTATGTGTTTAATGGAGGAAAAAGGAATGCTAGGAGATGGGAGTTGGTTACCTTTGAACATTTGACACTGTTAATTAACTACTATCTTCTACTGGGTACTCTCTCCTTCCCTAGGTTTTCATGATACTGCTTTATGGTTCTCTTTCTACCAGTCTGACCAATCCTTTTGCTCTTTGAAGAATCACACTCCATGCCCCCTCTCACCTTTTAAGCCCTTTCTATGTTCTCTTTTTTTCATGTATATCCTGTATTTATTTACTTTTAAACATGTATCCCTTCAGTAAAATCTAAGCTGTTCAAGGAAAGGACTGTCTTACTAAATAAGTTCTTAATAAATGCGTGATGATTGGTCCTCTTTGCTTTACCATGGGATCATTGTTGTTAGTATAGAATTCAGGCCTAGCATCTGAATCCCTGTTTGGGTTCCAGGAGTAAAGTTACACCTTTCAAATGATCAGGTTTATTCTAAGATGGTAGGAGGTGAGACATGAACAGAAGATGTTCAGTTTATGAGGTTTGCACTAGGTTTCCAATGTGGGTATTTGCAGGAGCCTGGTGGTGTTTTTGTTTTTTTTTCTAAAGGCAGATTGTTCCTTGATCCCATCCATCTCCCCCATCTTCCATCTCTCAGATGCCTAAGGCCTTGATACAGTTCCCTGTGTCCATGACTAATATCACAGTAAGATATGCCTTCTGTGAAAATCTTATGTTACACAATTAACTTCACTTCCTTATTAGAACTCCCTTACACTTAAGCCTTCTGTTTCTTTTTAATACCACTTGCTACTAACTTGTAAGTGATTGATAGGCTTAATCTTTCTAAAAGATTGGATTTCAGGATGACCTTATTAACTAGTAACCTAGTATAGGGGAGATGTATTTTTGAGCAGTTTTCTGGAGCTTTTGTTAAATCCAGGCACCCTTTCTAATACATTCCCCACCAATAAATCAGTGAGTAAAAAACAGGGATTTCTATATTATTCACTTAGCATCACAGCTCCATACCTGTTCTGCCCTTCCATAACCATTTTTGGCACCCCATAGCTCAATAAAAATAAGAATGTAATGGATTGTGGATTGGTACATTAAATATTCAAACTATTCTGTCTGTGACCTTGTTATATTTAAGCTCTGCTCCTCCCATATCTCTCCATCTTTTTCACTTAGCTTTTCCTTCTGTTTCTTCCCCCATTTCAGGAATTCTTTCTGTTTTATTCACCATAATTTTAAAATCTCTCTTCTTAAGCATATATGTATGATAATGGGCCTACACCTGTTCTCAATTAATGATTTTAAACTTATATCTCAGTCCTTTACTGGTAACAAGTTGGAGATTATAGTAATGATGGGCTACTTATTGGGAATTAATTACGATTTTGTAATTTAAGAAGTTACAATTTTTTTCATTAAGTGATTAACTAGTTCACATCCTAAAGGAGTTTGGGGTTATTTTGTATGGTTTCAGGTGTGGAACATCAAGCAAATGATTAAATTGACACAGGAACACATAGAGGCCCTATTGGACAAGTTCGGAGGGGAACATAATCCACCATCAATCTACCTGGAGGTAAGGTATTGAATATCAGATATTTGGGAGAGTCATGAGAAGAAGATATAATTTATTTTTAAAATAAGCTAAAGAAACTTAAAATACTACTCAATAGAAAAGCCCTTTTTAATTTAATTTTTTGAGATAAAATTTTTTTTAGTTTTCAACATTCACTTCCATAAGATTTTGAGTTCCAAATTTTCTCCCCTCCTCCCACCCCAAGATGGTGTGTAAATTGATATAGGTTCAACATATACATTCATATTAAACCTATTTTCATATTAGTCATGTTGTAAAGAAGAGTTAGAACCAATGGGAGAAACCACAAGAAACATGAAACCAAAAAAAGAGAGAGAGAAAACAAATAATATGCTTCAATCTGTATTCAGACTCCATATTTCTTTTTCTGGATGTGGACAGCATTTTCCTTCATCAGTCTTTTGGAATTATCTTAGATCCTTGCGTTGTTAAGAAGAGATAAGTCTATCAAAGTCAGTCATCACACAATGTGACTGTTACTCTGTACAATGTTCTTCTGGTTCTCACTTCACTCAGCATCAGTTCATGTATGTCTTTCCAGGTGAAAAGTCTATTTTAAAAAGAGTATTTCAGGAGTCAGCAAATTAGTCCTATTAGCCTGAGAAAGGCAGAGAAATTTGGTATTTAAAGTTTCTTCTCAAGGGAAAGCTCCACCTATGAAATTTCAGAATTCTTGATATATAGTTTATAACTAGAATTAACTAATGATAAAGGTGGTAAGGAGTAATTTTAAGAAGAAGGCTGTTCAAGTTCATAGACTTGAAAAAGAAGCCCTGGGAAAGAGTAAGACTATAAATTTGGGTAGGGGGAGCCTTGAGAGAAGAAAGAAGTCTCTAAATTTTTAAGGGGCAAAGGACATTTTTTGCAGATGGAAATAACAATTCATCTCAGGGAACATATAGTAAGCAGCCCTGAAGAGCTAAGGCCCAACCTTGGCATGCAGTTTTTGATGAGCAGATCTTTGGTCAAGGATTTCTGGAAAAACATGAACAAGAATCACAAAATCTGAGTTGAAAGAGACCTCAGTGACTCTTGTTTAGTCTTTATCCAAGTAAGGATCTTCTCTACTAACTATATCCCCCCCCCAAAAGTTCATCCTTTTTTTTTTTTAATCTCTACTATTTCATGAAGTAGTCTATTCTCCTTTTTGGATATCTCATTATTAGGAAGTATATCTTTAGATAGAACCAAAATCTGCCTTCAGTTTCTTGCCCAGGAATTCTTAAACTGGGGTCCATTTTCTTTATTTTTTATTTGAACTTTTTTTTTTAGGGTATTGGGGTTAAGTGACTTGCCCAGGGTCACACAGCTAGTACATGTCAAATGTTTGGTCTGAGGCCGGATTTGAACTCAGGTACTCCTGAATTCGGGGCCGGTGCTCTATCCACTGCGCCACCTAGCTGCCCCTTGTCCATTTGCTTTAAAAAGAAAAAAAGAAATTTTTTGAGTACTGTTCCAATATAATAAGTTTCTTTGTAATCCAATGTATTTTATTTTATGCATTTGAGAATTTTATTCTGACATGAGGTCCCTAGGCTTCATCAGACTGCCAAAAGGGTCCAAGACACAAAAAAAGTTAAAGAACCCTTCTTCAACCCATTGTTCTTCATTCTGCTTCTTCCCTCTCATAACCTGTCTCCTTACTCCACCCCACAGAGCCTCCTGTTCTCCAGGCTAAATATCTTCAATTCATTTAATTTGCTGTATTTGTTGGCATCTTGAGTCTCTTCACCAACCTGGTTATCTGTGTTATGCACTTCCTAATATGTGATACCCAGAACTGAGAAAAATAGTTTGGTTGAAGTCTAACCAGTAAAGAGTACAGTAGAAACATTACTTCCCTCATTATGCCCATCCTCTCTTAATGCAGCCTACAATTTTATTAACTCTTTTGGCTGCCAGATCACACTGTTGACTTACACTGATGTTGCAGTTCACTAAAAGCCCCAGATACCAAAAGATACTTTGCTTTCTAGGTCTTTTTGATGTCTGGATTTGAGGTCTGGATTACTTTAGTGACTCTGAGATCAAGTATTTTATTACAGATAACCTTCTCTTGATAAATAAAATCTGTTGTGGGAGAATCTCACTATAAGTATCCCTAAGTAAGAGCTTTCTGGAGTGTGTGCCATGCTGAAGCTGAAAAGGGAAAGGTAGAGATTAACAAATGATTAAGGATTTGGGGATCACAGATTATAGAGGTTTAAATGCTTCGTATGAACATTGATGAGAAAATGATTAGTAGGTTGAGCCAATTTCACCATTGAACTTAAGAGTCTTGGAGAGAGGATAAGCTTCCAGAGCCCTAGAAGAGAAAGCATCTCCAGAGTAGAGGAGAAACAAATATAAATCTTTAGGAAATTCAGAGAAAAGTTAGACTTTTAAATGTCAGCATCAATAGAGCTAACACATTTTAAGATCCCTAATCCTATTTTATGAGGCACAAACTTTCAGGAACCTGATAATGTGAAGGAATGAATGGGGTTGCTGTCTCATATCCATTGAATGTTGTACCTATAACATAGATCTGTTCACATATGAAGTGGAACTACCAGCCCTGCATTGAATATTGGCCCTTTCCATAGCTTACTGCTTAGCTATGTCTTGCCCTCAACAGATACCTTAGTTTAATAGACTGGTTGCAGAGCCAGCATGGATCTTAGGTGTCATCATTTTATAGATGAGGAAATTAATTCGAGAGGTTCAATGACTTGCCCAAGGTCACTAAGCTAATACTTGGCAGAACCAACCAATTGTATTGCTCTGGCAGTCAGACTGTATTACCAAGCATGTTTGGTTTTTTTTCTGTTGTGGCTGTCCTATTCAAAATAGAGTCTCAAAGGGGCCAATGAGAAAATAAACAGTTACTTAAATTGTTGGGGGTTTTTTTATTGATGCCACTTGTTATTGATACTTTCTTTTCCCATCCCACTCATTTCTGAGTATATCTTTTACCACCGAGCAAACCTTCCTTTGTAACAAACAAGAAAAAAATAGTTCCTGATATTAGTTAGCTCTAAGCAGTTATTTCCAGTGTACATGCTTTCACTTTAACCCAGCAAGATTTTAAGCTGACTTCAAATAAGGAAAAAAATTACAAATTTAAAAAAAAAAAACTAAATGCAAGCTTTACATAGGGAGCCTAGAGGTAGACCATGACAAAAACAAAAATAAGGCAAATTGACAGATTTGTTGTTGTTGTTCAGTTGTTTTTGCATTGTGTCTGACTCTTCATGACCCTACTAGAGCTTTTCTTGGCAAAAATACTGGAGTGGTTTGCCATTTCCTTCTCCAGGTCATTTTATAGATGAGGAAATGGAAGCAAACAGGGTTAAGTGATTTGCCCAGGATCACACAGCTAAGTTTCTAAGGTCAGATTTAAACTCAGGTCTTCCTGATTCTAGTCCCAACAACCTATTCACTGCACCACCCAGCTGCCGAAAAATTGATAGATAGCTAAGTCAATTGTTGTTTTTATATGAGGGGCAAGAGGGGAGGAAGTCTAGACCTAGGATTTAATAAATAAAGGAAACTCAATGTTGGAAGGCCTTATACTGATAAACATTCTTGTAACCTTTCTAAAATATAGCGTGGAGTTGCTACAGAACAGTTTATTCTATTACCGTTAGTGAATGATATCCATGGAGGTGTCATATAAATGTTTACCTTAGGATCTTATTCAGGCCTGCCGCTGAAATCAGTGTGGCTTAAGATCATGGTCAGCTTATCTTCATGAGCATCTCTGAGCATCATTGGGATGGGATCCATCAATAGACTGGGGCCCTGGAAGAGTGCACTCTGTTCTAAATAACAGGATAGGTAAAGATTAGGAATCAGACAAGAAGTATTGATTGTGTATCTACCATGTACCAGGTACCGTGTGTAAAAATAACAGCTGATATCAAGAGGTTTAAGGTTTAGAGAGCATTTCCTAAACATCCTCACATTTGATTGCCACCATAGTCCTGTGAGATAGATGTTACGGGTAATATTCCCGTTTTATAGATAAGGAAATGGAGGTTCATGGAGGTTGTGATTTGTCCATGGTTACCCAGCAGGTTGGTGGTACAGCGGAGAGAGTGCTAGGCCTGGAGTCGGGAAGACCTGAGTTCAAATCTGGCCTGAGGCAGTTGCTAGCTATGTGATCCTGGACAAGTCGCTTAATACTGTTTGCCTCAGTTTTCTCATCTGTAAAATGAGCTGGAGAAGGAAATGACAAACCACTCCAATATCTTTGCCAAGAAAACCCCAAATGGACTAATAGAGAATCAGACACAACAACCACCACCACCCAGCTAGTAAATGTCAGAGATGATATTTAAATCCAGGTCCCTAGGAACTTAAAATTAAGTTCAACATTCTTTCCACTACACCACCCTGCCCATTAAAAGGTATAATCATGTGAAGCCATCTAGAAACTAGAGGGAAGTGGGTGGATAGCACCCTGATCAGGTGAATGGTATAATGACAGTGTATATCAGAGAAGGCAAAGCTTTTGAAATGTTATTTTGCTTCTCACATCTCTGCCAAGGAGAAAGAACTTTGGATCAGAAAGCACAGAACAAAAATGACTAATGGGGATTTGAAACCTAAGATGAGTGGGGAACATAATAAGGGTAGACCTAATTTGAATTTATCATTAAGCCCAGACAAACCGCACCTGAATTTACATTCCAGTTATACAAAATTTCTTAAATTAACAATAGAGAATGACCATCTGCTCATTATTGTAAGATGAGAGATTAAACAGGCAGATGATGTAATATGATTGCTCAAGGTATTTGTTATTATTTTGCACAAATTCAAATGAGTTCAAGTTGTAGAGGATTTCTCAGTAGATGGTCCTCCTCATGCTTTTGTTAATAGATGACACAGTGGTGATTGTATCGAGCTCTAGAATGTTGCACACTGTCCTGAATGAGATCCATAAATGCTCAAAAAATAATAACAGAGTATTAAAAAGCATTAATTAAATACTTAAAATCTGTCAGACATTGTCCTACAGTGCTAAGAATGGGAGGGCAGAGGGGTAGGGGTGGAGTGGGGGAGTTGGGACAGTCCTTGCCCTTCAGAAATTTATATTCTGTACCAGAAATAAATGTACACATAAAACTAAATTTTATCTATATGTGTGTGTGTGTGTGTGTGTGTGTGTGTGTGTATATAAAATATATATATATACATTGTATGTATATATACACACATTGTAATTGAAAGGTATTTTGGGGGTAGATATTAGCTTCTGAGGGATCCAGAATGGCCTCATGTCCATACTTGAGTTGAATTGTGATAAAAGCTAGAGATGTTAGGAGGTGGAGGTGAGGAAGAAGACCATTGCAAATGCTGGGAATGACTTATGCAAAGGTGCAGAGACAAGTAATGAAATATTGTATATATCAAACAAGAAGTTTGAACTTGGAATCCGGCTGGAGTGTAGCGTGCTTAAAGGGCGATAAGGTGTAATCAATCTGAAAAAGTAAGCTAGAGCAGATTGCAAAGGACTTTAAAAGTTAAACAGAATGATAATTTGTATTTTATTGTCGAGGCATTAGGGAACTATTGGTGTCTTTTGAGCAGCTGAGTTTTACAGTCAGATCCATGTTTTAGGATTATCACTTTGGCAGCTCTGTGGAGGATGGATTGCAGAGGGAAGATACTGGAAATGAGAAGACCAATTGAAAGACTAGTGTTCCAGAGAAAGAGATGATAAGGTTTAAGTGGGCAGAAAGAGAGATTGAAAGAGGTGTTATGGCAATAGAATCAACAAGACTTATAAGTGATTGGATATGAGAGAGTGAAGAAGAGTGAAGAGTTGAGTCTGACTCTGAGGCTGGAAACCTGGGTAACTCTAAGAAGAAATAGAGTAAAGCATGTCATCAAAGAAATGTATGATCAAAAAAGAAAGCAGAATGGTCATGCAGTGATGAGAAATGACCAGTGGAGAGCCTTTATATTCCAATAGAATTCTAATGATACTTAGAGAAAGAAAAGCCCCCACTACATTGGACTAGCCATCTCTGTTGAAATTAAAGGAGGTCATGGACAAGTGTTAACACAGACTAGACAAGCTTGGATGGGTTATGATTGGGACTTTTGGAGAGATCATCTATGTCAGTAAGGTCATATGTCGATTTGAGAACATTTCAGGGCCTGTGCTAGGCACTAGGGCAAAAAGGCAAAGTAGTCCCTGCCTTCAAGGAGCTAGCAAACACAAGTTAGGAGTGACATGGTCAAACCTATGTTTTAGGAATGTATCGTTTTGGCAGCTACTCTCTCCTGGTACATGGAGTATAGATTGGAGAGGGGTGAGACTGAAAGTAGGGAGATTATTGTAACAATCCAGGATAGTGGTAATGAAGAGGGCACACAAGAGGTTAGAATGAGGGTTTCTATTTGAATAGAGAGATTTGGAGTAGAACCAACAAAATATGGCAACTGATTACATATAGAAGGTGGAGGAGAGTGAGGAGTTTAGCAAGACTTGGAAGTTTTAAACCTAATTGATTAGAAAGGATAGTGCTGTCTACAGCGTAATAAAGAAAGTTCAGAAGAGGGATGAGGGTGGAGGGGGGATGGATGCTGAGGGATTTTTAAGACATTTAATAATCTATAGGATATCTAGATGGAAATGTCTGAGAGATTGTTGATGATAGTTGAGTCCGAGAAAATTCAGAGAAAGGGCATAGGAAGAGATGACCTAGCATCGAGTCCTGCGTACCCACACATAAAAAGGAATAATGTGGCTGAATGAGCCAGCAAAAGCAGAGTTGGACAGACAGAAGGGAAGATAACCAGGAAATAGCAGTATCAAGAAAATCCAGCAAGAAGAGAGTGTCCTAGAGGAGGGGGTGTTCAGTAGTATCAAATGTGGTCAAGAAGGATTAGGACTAAGAAGAAGCTATCGAATTTAGCAGTTAGTAAATCATTGGTATCTTTGAAAAATAATTGTTTCAATTGGCCTAACCATCCAAACTGGAAAAACTGAGTTCATGAAGCATGCCTATTATCCTAACTGACATAGATGGACAAACTATAGAGACTATATGTATATAAATCTTGAACAGACTGTAAAAATGGACAATGAGTTGGACTCGGGATTATATAGTAGGAACAGATCAGGTCTATGAGATTTATGATAACTTGGGATATTTCCAGAGAATGCATTTTTTTTTTGGTGAGTGTCCATAGACTAAAATACATAACCGTATTTTAGAGTATATGTAAAAGATGCGGCTTTTCAGAATCAGTGTATACCTTGTAACAAGGTTTATTGATTTAAAGTAAAAAAATATTATCATGAACCTACTTCCTAATTTTTTTAAATGCTGAGGATTACTCTGATATTTTTCATTCTAATTATTGACCTAATCTTGTTGACCTAATTCCAATAAAAGTGCTGTGATCAGGACCTTAGATTTGAAACTTCCTTTGAACAACCAGTGCAAACTCAAGATTAAATATTTAATTCTGTTTTTCATTGTAGGCCTATGAAGAATATACCAGCAAGCTAGATGCACTTCAACAACGGGAACAACAATTATTAGAGTCCATGGGGAATGGAACTGATTTTTCTGTTTCTAGCTCAGCTTCAACAGACACAGTTACATCTTCTTCCTCTTCTAGCCTTTCAGTGGCACCTTCATCTCTTGCAGTTTTTCAGAATCCTACAGATGTATCAAGAAGCAACCCTAAGTCACCACAAAAACCAATTGTTAGAGTCTTCCTGCCCAACAAACAGAGGACTGTGGTAAGTATACCTTGTATGTCTTCATCTTGCCTGCTCTGTCTTCTTTGTATTTTTTAGATAGAGCAGATGTAGAAACTATAATATATTATTCTCTATCAGTCTGAATATAAACTGAATATTTTCCCCAAACCCGTCTTGTATAAAACCTAAGTGCAGCCTAATAATCAGTGTCATTTTTCAATTCATACCTCTATTTTTTTCTTTGAAAAAACAACTCATTTTAAGTGTGGTTATGACCTATATTTGAATCAATATGGTAGCTTGCAAAAAGCCCATGCTATCTGGTGATAATATGAATGTAATTCTTGGGTACTTAATTAAGTCCAACATTTCTTAAAAATGTGTTTGTGTTGTCATCTTCAGTGTTACCTCTAATGATCTGATACTATTGACCTAATTACACTAAAGGTGATATCATCGAAACCTTTTATTTGATGCCTTTTCACAACTGTCTAAAGCCAAATTCTACATAAAGCATTACTAGTTTAATTTGGAATGTTTGGAATAGGGGAATGGCTTAACAAATTATGGTATGTGAAGGTGATGGAATACTATCATGCTATAAGAAATGATGAAGAGGATTTCAGGAAAACTTGGGAGGACTTGTATGAACTAATACAGAGGGAAGTGAGCAACCAAGAGAACATTTTATACAATGACTATATCGTAAAGATAAATAACTTTGAAAGCCTTAAGAATTCTGATCAGTGTAATGACCAATCTTAATTTCAAAGGACTTATGATAAAAGATGCTGTCCACCTCCACATAGATGGCTAATGGTGACTCAATGCAGATGGAAGCGGCTTTTCTTTTTTTTCCCTTCCTTTCTGTCTTTTTGGACATAATGCGGGGCCTTGTTTTACTTAACTATACACATTTGTAACAGGTTTTGGGTTTTTTTGCCTTCTCAGTGGATGGGGGAGTTGGGAAGGAATAAATTTGGAATTGAAAATAAAATAAAATTGAATTTAAAAAAAGAAATTACAAGTCATTGAAAGTAACAATGTATATAGTATTAGGCAATGGTGGTGGTGATCCAGAAATAAAGTAAGTCTTAGATACATCCCTCAGGGGACCTTAGAATCTAAAGGTGATGAAAGAAATAACATACTCAAATAACTGTAACACAAGGTAGATGGTGGTAAGATAAGGGTTGTGCAGTGGGAAATTTGAGGAATGAAAAATCATTTTTTAGTTAGCAGACCTTGGGAAGATAAATTTTTTTTTGGGGGGGGGGTAGCGTTGAGAGAAGAAAGAACCTCTAAATCTTTAAGGAGCCAAGGACAGTTTTTGCAGAGGGAAATAACAGTTCAGTTCAGGGAACACATAGTAAGCAGCCCTGAAGAGCTAAGGCCTAACTCTGCCATGCAGTTGTTGGCAAGCAAATGTTTTGTCAAGGATTCATGGAAGAACATGAACAAGAATCACAGAATCTGAGTTGAAAGAGACCTCAGTTACTCTTGTTCAGTCTTTATCAGAGTAAGAATCCTCTCTACTAACTTCATCAAAATTGTTATCCATCCTTTTATTTTTTTTGATCTCTACTATTTCATGAAGTGGTCTATTCTCCTTTTTGGATATCTTAATGGAAGTATTTCTTTAGATAGAACCAAAATCTGCCTTTTTAAGCTTCTAACCCAGGAATTCTTAAACTGAGGTCCATTTACTTTAAAAACAAGTGAACAACTTTTTGGAGTACTGTACCAATATACATTTCCATTGAAATCCAATGTGTTTTATTTTATGCATTTGTGTGGGATTCGACTCAAATTAAAAAACACTGAGAGGTGTTTTAAGGTAGGAATAGAAAGTTATTTATTTTCTGTTCTCGAGAATAGGGTGTCCCTCCACCAGTATGATCTGATGAGGGGAGACAAATTACAGAAGCAAAAGCCAGATTAAATAACCCTAACAGGAAAAGCCCCCTCCCACCAAGTGGCCAATGTTTGGCTCACAATACCAAAGCAAACTTTAACTGAACAATGGCATAGAAGGGGGAGGGGGCCGGTACTTGGGGCTGGATTCCCATAAATCAGGTGATTTCTAGTAAATCGAAACTTAGGCCTGTCGGCTATTATGCCAGCCTTGAGTCTTGATACAATTTCTATTTATTCTTCTAAGAAGTCTTCACAGGCAGCTAGGTGGCGCAGTGGATAGAGCACCAGCCCTGGATTCAGGAGGACCTGAGTTCAAATGCGGCCTCAGACACATAATACTTCCTAGCTGTGTGACTCTGGGCAAGTCACTTAACCCCAGTTACCTCACAAAAAAAAAAAAGCAAAGAAAAGAAAAAAAAAGAAAAAAAGAAGTCTTCACAGGACCCCTCATCCCACTCAACAAGAACCATTGACCTCCCTGAGGAGGCTTCACTTCTGAGAGACCGTCTCTCATACATTTGAGAAACTTATTCTGAGATAGGGTCCCTAGGCTTCATCCCTTGGTTCTGGGCTTTCTTTCTGGTCCTCTCCAATGCCTGGAATGCTCTCTCTTTCTCCTCTGACTACTGACCTCACTGGCTTCCTTTAAGTCTCAGCTAAAATCCTATCTCTTACATGGAGTCTTCCCCAGTGCCTTCTCTTTGTTAATTATTTCCTATTTATCCTTTATATGGCTGGTTTGTATATATTTATTTGCATGTTGTCACTCCTCTTCCCCCCCCCATTGAATTGTAAACTCCCTGAGGGTAAAGACTGTCTTTTGCTTCTTTTTGTAAACCTAATGCTTAGCTCTGTGCCTGCCTAGTCGTAGATGCTTAACAAATGTTAATTGAATTGAATTGTACCGATGAAGTCTCTCCCCAGCTTTAAAAAATCTTTTACTTGAACTGAATCTGCTATCCCCACAAGTTATATCTTTTCTCCTTTTAAATTTCAGACTCTTAAAAAGTGTGGTCTATACTCACTTCTTTAACTTTTTTACCACCCACTCACTCATCTCCTTCCAATATAGCTTAATTTGGGGACATGTTTTTGAGATGTCAGTGAGACTTCTGTTTTGAAATATCTGGTAGGCAATCTCACAGTCAACATGCCTAAAACCAAACTCTCTATTTTCCCTCCACTTAAATCCGTTCTTCCTCCAAACTTGCTTACTTCTTGTTGTAGCTACCCCCATCCTCCCAGTAACCCAGGTTAAACCCTTAATGCTATCCCTGACTTTTTCCTCTGCCTCACCTGTTTGTATCATCAGTTGCCGAGTCCCATTGTTCCTTTACAGCATCTAGTTCATCCATCCTCTTCACTCACTCTACTATCCTACTTTAGACTTTTGGCACCTCTCACATACTCTTCTAATTGATCTTCCTGACCCAGTCTTTCTTTCCCTAATTGAGTCCATCTTCTATCTGTCTAGCTACCAAAATAATGTGGTACATGTCTAATAATGTCAGCCTGCTTTTCAGAAACCTTTAGTGGCTTCTTTTTGCTTCTGGGATGAAAAACAAAGTCCTTAGTCAGGCCAGCTGTTAAGTACTCATACTCACTGTGTTCTAGGCACCCTGCTAACTGTTTAGCATACAAACACTAACTAAAAGAAAGGCAATTCCTGCCCTCAAGGAGCTTACTTTATAATGAGGGAATACCACACAAAAAGGGAGCCAGAAAGCTGTAAGGAGTTGTAGAGAGAACTGTAGCTGGGAGGATGAGAGAGCGCCAGGTGCTTAGCCTGGCCCTCCCCAGCTATACTCTAGCCTACCTTTCTAGCCTTGGTTCACATTTATTCCTCTTCACACATTCTGCATTCCTAATTGTTTATGCCTTCTTTACAACCTCTTAATTTCTTCAAGGGATCAGCCTAGATGCCATTTTCCTTTATGTAGCCTTCCCTGATTGCCCCAGCTGTTCTTTCCTTTCTCCAAATACTCCTAGAGCACTGTCTCATGATATTTTTTCTTTTGGTCCAGGGAAAGCTATGGCAGCAAACCCAAACGAATTAACTTTAGAGAGGGTTGTTAATTTATTTAATCTTAAATTTGTGTCAAATGTGAGTGCAAGGGGCAGCTAAGAGGTACAGTGGATAGAGCACCGGCCCTGGAGTCAGGAGGACCTGAGTTCAAATTCAGTTTCAGACCAGACAATTGACACTTACTAGCTGTGTGACCCTGGGCAAATCACTTAACCCCATTGCCTAGCCCCCCCAAAAAAAAAAAACCTTGAGTGCAGAGAGCAGGTTTAAAAAGTGTCGTTTTATTGAGACTGTCCAAAAGTAATATTGTTATACCAAGAAATGAGCGAGTTGACCACCCAAGCTAATTTTAAATTGTGGACTTTATTAGCACGTGGCTGCCAGGGATATTCACATCCAAATCAAGCAGCCCCCATCAGGGGTTGAGCTAGGGTTTATATAGGGAGTATACAGGACAGGGAGGGGGATGGATCTTTGAAGTCTGGCAAGAGGAAGAGGTTTTTTTGGGGGGCTGGTCAAGGACACCCTTCTCCCTCTGTGTAGATATGATAATGCTGTGCAAACTTTCTCACAATGGAGGCTTCCAGAGATATGATCTGAGGGCTGTGGCCTGAGCAGCCAGATAAGGGTCTTGCTAAGGAATTTGGAGGTTTCCAGAGATATGATCTGAGGGCTGGAGCCTGAGCAGCCAGGTATGGGTCTTGCTAAGGAATTTGGAGTTTTCCATGGCCTAAAGGGTTCTACTACCTAAGTGGTAAAATAATGTTCTGCATTACAATATCATTTTAAAAAATAAATTTGTAATCCATCCACCAAATTCTGCACCAGATGTAGTAGGAAGATAATGTTCACAGCAGGAAATGTAACATCATTTTACATATTCAGTTTTTAAAAAGTAATTACCATCAACTCTCCAGTTTCTAGTGCTTTGTCAAAGAAATTTCTTATGAAAGATAATTCTATTAAAAATGGAGTTAATGATGAAGGAAAGTATAATTGTGTTTGATGGTGTGCTATGCAGTCAGCATTTCCAGATCTTTAGATTGTGCCTTTAAGCCAATTTCTATATTAGGTAAACTCAAATTTACATCATACA